AAATCCTGACTTTGTAACCTAGCAGTTAGAGTTGAGGGAGACCTTGGTTTCACTCCCAGCTCCTGTGATTATTTCCAGCTTTTTACCAATGGATATTTAAGGAAAATGCATAAATAATAATGGGAATTGGGGAGGCCACCAGTACCACACCTGGCTTATAGCCTTCTGGTTAAGGTACTTTCTTGGGACGTGGGACATATGAGCTTAAATCTCTTGGAGCTGAGGAGGTTTTCCATTTCTTCAGTGAATGCTCTAACCATAAGTCTATCATATGGTAGGCAGCACTACCCCTACTGTATTTTAGGAATTATGCATGTCATAAGGACCTTCTGTCCTGTCAGCGTGTGCTCAGTGTGCTCCATGCACACCTACTAAACCAGACTCCTGTGAGGACTTTGGCACTGTTCCACCCAATTTCTGTGTCCTGATTGGATTTAGGTAGGAGCTAGATGTCTAGCCTGTTGGGGTAGGGCAAATCTATTTATATGAAGAGCCAGAACTGTAAGTGCCAGAGAACTGCACAACTAATTAGGGAGGCATCTAATGAGTTTTAGGTGCTCCTAGGGTTAGACAGCCCCTGCATAAAGGTGTTTTGAATGCCAATGTTGGGCTTGGGCATCTAAAGTCTATCCAAGTCCCATGACAGTTGCATTAATCTTTTTTTTCGTTATTGTTTTGGATCTAGCCCCACCACAGTAGAAATGTACTGGTACTAAAGAACATGGATAAATAACATATATGACCATCATGATCCTTCAAAAAGATTGGTTCCTCAACAAAAAAAAAGGAAGTCAGAATTTGCTATTTCTAGCAAAACAAGCAGGAAAGTATTTTTCCATTAAAAGCTAAACAAAACAAAACCTGAATTGAAATTCTTACCATGGATAAATATGACAATAAGAAATGCTGACATATGTGCAAAACAGACTTATTCAGGAGACTTCCATAACTGCCAGGAAAGTAGCCTGGGGTTCTCAGTGAATGACTAAAAGAGAGTTCAAACTAAACACAGACTAAAGGAGTGTTATGAATGCATCGGGAAAAGGAGAAATTCAACAGCCTGATTAAAGTGTTCTTTCCTTTGAAGTGAGCTGTGAAAATATCTAATTCAGTAAGAGTAGGTGAAAGTGGCACATTTAGGATGCAAGCCTGTTGTTACTGAAATGAATTTATCATTGACTTTTCTGAGCCCTCTTTGGGAACCAGAATTTGGGGGAGACCATGGGAATAAAGTACACAAAGAGAGGAGGAGAGAGAAAAGACCTATTGCACTAATTTCCCAATATCTCACCCCTCTCTCCCAAAATTTTTATAGTACAACAGTGATATCCAGTCACCACTTAGATTAATCACAGGGAGCATATTTGTTCATTATGAATTCCCAGGGGACATATTGTACACTGGCTTCTCTTGTTCAAAGGTGGTAGACTGCACTTACCTGGGTATCTCATATTTGTCCTATTTGGCACTTCACTACTTTAGTGATGCTGGACTTGCAACAAATGGTCTAATTCAACATTTTGCCTGTGGGGGTCCTAAATATTAATTAGACTGAATTGGTTAAGTACTAAAATGCTATCTGCAATTTAGAGATAGAGTGCTTGTTGCTGACAGTTGGGTGGGGAGCTGTGAAAGATTACTTAATAGGTTATACTGTGAACTTAAAAGGCAACAGTTTTAATATAGTTGTCACCTTAAATAGGAAAAGCCTCCATCATGATTCACCTTCTAAAACTCTATGTAGCCTCCATGACACATTATTTAGCCACTGATAAATGTTTATTTGTACTAATGTATTAATCAAAACAAGTGTAATTAACTTCAGATTCTGTCTACTATAATTGACAACATTTATATAGCTCTTCTGTGCCTATCAGTCAAGGATCCATGTGGTAATTTACTATGTTCAAATTACTTTAACCTTGCTTTAACCATGAAAAGCATTTCAGAGTTCTTACTCTGCATTTTATTTAAATATCTCTTTCTATACTGTGTTTGAGAGGGTGGTTAGTATTTTCATATGTTCAGGTGGCTACAGTAATTCAAATAAATTGTTCTATAGTTTGATGGACTTATAAATGAAAATAAAAGTAATTATAGCAAGTCTAGCTCTAATCATTTAAACTAACTACTGTATCTGTAATAGAGGAAGGATCCTGTAGTGGTTAGGACACCATCATAGGCCTTGTGAAACCTGTGTCCAGCTGCTGCTGTGTCCCAAATTTCCTCTATGAGTTTGAGCAACTCATAAGGAATCCCCAAAATGACTTAAGTGTGGCAATACTAAGCAATACTGAGCATAATACAGTGCACACATTGCTTTGCCACATTGTGGACTTAACAGCCTTAAATTTTGCACTGAGCTTCCTTATACAATGTATGAGGGGAGTTAAAGCCCTGTCTACATGGTGAGTGAACATGGCATAGAGGAAGGTTAACAAGCATAGAGACAAGCTAATTCGCACTCAGAAGTTCTGACTAGCCTGCTCTAACCAACTTGCAGATGCAGCTACACTGTTTCTGGTTTCAGTTACAGCCAGCCCACAATATTTGGTAGGTTTGAAAGTACTGCTACCTGGAAATAGGAAATGCTGAGATGAGAAGTGTGGCTAAAGCCCCAGATGTGCAGGGTTGTGTGCTTGCAGTGGCACAAATTTGTGTCGCTACTTTGTGTGACAGTGAATACTCCAGCATGTGCACTTTGTTGCAGGACACCGTGTCCCACTTTGGGCAAACTGCCCTTACCCAGCTCCTCCCAGCTTCCAGCATACTGGAGCAATCCGGACACAAATAGAGAGATCATCTCTCTGGAGGACAAAGCCTCTGCTTCTTCCGGTAAACACTATTGTAGCATGCGCCATGCCAATTTCTTTTCCTGGGTTTTTTTTTTTCTACTGGGAAATCCCAATATCAAACTTTGCACCTTCACTGTTAATTTGCAGTGGAGGAAGCGTTTTAATGTTCCATGCATGTGGTTTATGGCATCACAAACCACACATACCTACATATGAGGATGTGGCCAGGGAGTTAGAAGCCTCTCTTAAGGAAAAGGAAGCAGCGGTTCTCTTTTAGCCAATAGCCCAATGATTAGAGCACTCACCCAACTTGTGGGAGATCTGAATTAAATTTCCTTCTCTGTCTGAGAACCTACTTCCCAGGTGAATGCTATAATCAGTTGACTATCATATAGTTTGGAGTGAGAATTTTGAATCCTTCATCCTGAAGGTTTTATTTTGCATAAAATAATAATATATTTATTGGGTCAGAGAGAGTATATGTAACTTTATAACTTTATAGTAAAAATGCTCACCTTGATGGAGACCAGGGTTCTGGTACCTATTCCAACATATATTTAAGTGTTTTATACAAAGTATAAGTAGTCATTTGGATGCCTGGAGGCATGTCTACAGGTGCATTAAGGTGCTTTTTTATGTGCATTAAATTTAGTACTTCCAATAGGAGGTACTAAAGAAATGTGCATTAGGCTGCCCTACTGTGCAGTAACGAATGTGCACATTTTTAAAGTGACACTTAATGTGCAGTAGTCACATTTTACTATGCATTAGTGTAATTACATGATTTTTCACATGACACTTTAATGTGCAGTAAAATAGGCTACTGCTCATTAAAGTGCACGTGTAAATGTGCCCTAGGAAATTTTACTAGCCGATCCAGGTGCTAAAGCAAGTTAGACGCTTTAGTCTTATGCAGCACCAAAAAGGTGGGGAGATCAAAAGTGGGGGAGGAGGGGAGTGGTGTAGTTGAACCCTCTCCCCTTCTCTGATACTTGCTCCACCCAAACTTTAAAAGCAACTGCCTGGCAGTGGCATTTCTATTCAGGCAGCAGTGAGGGAGTCAACTGACTTCATGACTCACTTAATCAACCTACTTCCTGCAAATCTTTCTTCACTCCAGAGGTCTTAACAACCCTTTTTCCTTTTTAATGGTCTTGATGGTCCACTATTTAAACTATCCTTTCTTCTGCAATTTTGCTCTTAATTAGTCATTTCTGGTAATGTCTCTCCTCTATTTCACAGCCCTGCAGCATGTTTTAGCTTTGGCTAAAAACCTTAACTGATGTGTTAATTCAGGTGTAGAAATGACTGACAGTGAAATAGTGGAGGCACTGTCAAGACACTCAATAAAACTAGATTTTGTTTTACAGATCTGAATACATTTAAGTATAATGACTACAGGACTAATGGGACACTATCTTTTGCTATTTTGCCCACTTCAGTTTTTTTTAAACTTAATATATATTCTAGCAAATGAGTAAATACTCCAATAAATTTACATTTGTTTTTGCTTTGATCTCAAACTGAATGATACAGTGCTAAATCCCTAGTATATTAGTAAAGCTTGTTTCTGTTTAACTGGAGAAAAATATGTTGTAATATGTGATGATGTGCCACACCAACTATACCCCCCTTTTCAAAATCCTAGATCTGCCCATGGCAGTGGGGATATTGAGAATGTAATTTTTGGACTTAGGCACTTATAGTGTCAGATAGGTAGCAGTTAGGCATCTAAACCCTTTTGTGGATGTAGCCATTAACCTCTCAGTGCCTTTGCTCATCTCTGTGAAACAGGGATTATAGCACTCTCCTATTTTTCCGAGGAACTTTTTAAATTCCAAAACTAAAGTAATGGGGACTGTGCCTGTCTAACCTGGAAATGTTCAAAAGCAGGTTAGCCAGACACTTGGCTGAGATATCTTAGTCAGGGATGATCTTGCCTTGAGAAGGGGTCTGAATTAAACAACCTTATAAGGTCCCTTCCAGTTCTCCTTTTTATGATGCTATGAACTTATGCACATTCCTAAGATACATCCCTGAGCACCAGTGATGTTTTCTAAGTTTCAGAAGCTCTATAAATTTTGAGTGATTTATGGCTCAGTGCAGAAGTATGAATTTGATTTATTTTCTAGTTTTTTACTTCGAAAAAATAAATGTTTGTAAAACCATTTTCTTTAAGTCATATAACACAACATTTCTCATTACCTTCCTCTGATTTCTTTTGCTCAGCTCGTGCTTCCTGGGAAGGGATGTCAGCTGATCTCTTCTTTAGAGTTGTATTGTTTTCATCTTGTTTTTCTTTAGAAGATACAAGAAAGTAAGAAAGCAACTGATGATGCAGCTCAGAATGATAAAGACTAGGTTTTAATAGCCTGCTGCCTTTGCTAAGTAGGAGTTAAAAACTGCTTAGCTCTTCAGCCACATATTTTAACATCATTTATCTATACCTGAAGCAATGCTGCAGGCAACTTAATTTACTTCCCTGCATGCATCTTTCCTTCCTAGTTCAAATTTGAATCCAATTCTGAATTACTCCTCAGCAGTGTTATATCTACCCAAAAGGGTGAAGTTTAAGATACATAGTACTATTCATGATGCTGTGTTGAAAATGAAGGATTTTCTTTCCAAGCAAATTAAAAAAATGCAACAATTGACTTTACCTTCACATTGCTGCTTCCCTTCAGGAGCTTCACACGTTGTGCTGTCCTCTGGATTTTCTTTTATAAGTGGAGCTTCAGAACTGGTTTCTGCATTTTCACATGGAACTGACCCAACAGATTTTGCTATTTCATCAATAATATCAATGACGTGGAACCGAGTTTTTTCAGGAGGTACATTCCCATTATACTCAGGTATGCTGGATGCAATTGGTGCATCTTCTGTCATGATTATGGTAGTGTCCTACTTATTCCCTTAGGCTGTACACTTCCACTGAAGTCACAGTATCCTGCAACCAAAAAAAAAATTAGCTATTTGCCTTATTACCTTTCTCACTGGGTTCCCCAACCCCCCTTAAAGAGTTATTAAGCTTCTCTTCTGACAGCACTGTAGCAAAACAGGGGACAGAGTAACAATATCAGGTTTTGTCTAGGATTTGTCAGCAGTCCCTTTACACAAAATAATCCAATCAGCACCTTTCTTGTTGCTTAGAGTCTTCCAGTTGCATAATTAAATGCACCATTTTAATTTACATACACAAACAATCTGAAGCAACAAAGCTTTTGTGCTGGCATGTAGAGCAGGTCTTTCAGCATGTCAGCCTGGTGGTAATAAACAGAGATTTTGTGCTCTTGTCATAATGGCTCTTTGTGTGCTCTCCTCAGAACAGGAAAAACAATTGTTCTAAATCTTTAATCCAGGCAGGGTGACGGCCTTTAGTCATATTAGTTATATGTAACCAGCTTAACATTCCCCAAAAGATTTATATTCTGTTAAATCTCGAAATACTGTTAGTCAGACAATAGGTTCATTTTACATTGGTTAAGGGGCAAGTTATTTTATTTGAGAAGCATACATACTTTGCATACAATACAGCACAATGCCACTTTCTTCCATACAGCATAGCTCATGCCACCTATATCCATCCAATAATACTTTACAGAAATAGGACCAAATCCTAGGAGTCATTTATTTCAATGGAAGTTACAAACATTCTTCCCTGCTTAGGATCTGACCCTCAGAAATAAGATTGGAGAATTAAAATAAAAAATAATAGTAGTAAAACTGGAACGAGGGAAAGAAACTTTCTAAAATGAGATGGTGAGTTGATAAGGCAGAGAAATCCCAATGACAGGACATTTCTACATGCTAGAGAACCTGGTGCAAACATTTTCAATAGAGTGATGATAAAGTCGTCACAAACAAGCATGGTTATCATATAGCATGTAGACAGATTCCAAATTTAATCCTAATAATATCTAATAATAGCATAATAATCTGTATGATAAAAGAAGCAGTGGCAGAAGATTAATACTAATATAATTACTTATAACCCTGATGCAACAAGCTGACTGAGGAGAATGAAACTTTTTATAAGAATACTCACAAAGAATGAAAGAAGTCACTGCCATGACTCACTGGGTAACAGCTGGCCTGGACTAAGCATTGAAGGCATTTTCTGCGCATAACTGAACTTATCCCTCCCCCCTACAAGCCTACCACATTAAACCAAGTTTATATAAGAATGTATATCTCCAAATTACTTTTCATATTTGTACAGTGCAAAACATAGATTTTTTTGGCTTACACATTTCAGAATCATTCTGGTGGGATCCTATATGGTGACTGAAAATGGACCAAAAGCCCTGACATCTTTCAATGATCAGTAAGCATGCACTTTAAAATCAATATTTTTTTCATAATTGTCATAAAAATAAGTTTACTGTAAGTGATTTGTAATTGTTTTAACTCTTCATACCAGATGAAGAGTTGAAAGTGGACTGGACATGTATGTGCATAGATAGCCAAGAGGAAAGAAACTAGATACTTTGGAAATGGAAGGATTGCTACCAGGTGTGGAAGAGGTCATTTTCAATCCACATTTTGCTGCTGCTGTCCCTTGGATTCAAAGTGTTTGTTCAAATGGACCTTTTCAAGTGTTTCAGGGAAAGGCCATGGAATGCAACATTTTCTTACTTGATAAGTTTTGTTCTTAGTATTTTTGTCAGTTGGGATATGCCACTGAAATGTAGTCAAAAAGAGACTTGCCCAAGTATCTTTGTTGTCTTTGTCTTCAGATTATGACATTAATGATATCTGTGAAATCCAGATTTAGCTGTTGATAGATTTGTCTAGAAGTAGCTTGGGCAAAGCATTTTTTCCTGTCATACTTATTGCATATGTTCATCACTTCTGAATGATCAGAAAAGTAGAAATATGTTCCCTACTAGCATATCTGTAACAAGGACCAAATATCTACTTTGTAAAAAAACACTCAACACATGCTGATCTTCGCTATGCTCCATTCTCATGACATAAAAAGACTACAAAGGTGGAAGATTTCTCAAGAGAATCACTTGAGGGCATAAATAGTCCTCCCAAGCTGCTGATCTCCACAGTAGGGGCATGCCAGCAGCAGTCCAGGAAAATATGCTATTTCTAAAGCATTGCAAGCCCCCACTTACAAATCATCTCCTTATGGCTATACCTTATAGCATCTTGGTTAGAGCAATTATAAGCTATGCCAGGATGTAACAGGCCCCGACTGAGACCCTGTTACTAGAGAGACGTGGACAGCTGAAGACAATTACAACTTGGGGGGAGGAGGTGGGTCCTGCCCACAGAGAACCAATGAGGCCCAGGCCCGAAGGATAAGCGGGAGAGAAGGCAAAGGAGAAATTGTCTTTGGGCACTGCAATCCATGGAGAAACCGTGGAGGACGCGGCTACAAAGGATCCCGAGGGTGGATCCTAGATGCGAGAGTCCGTACAAGGACGACGAAGGAATTCCAGGACCGGCTGCTCCCCTCCTCTATGTACCTGTAGTCCACGCTGGTGATGGTGAGTCGGAGAGAAGCGGATCCGCAATGCAGGAAAAGCCATGGCTCCGGCCAGGACATGGCAAAGGTACTTGGGAGCAAAGGGGAGCAGGGAACACCTGACCTGACCCTGAGGAGACAGGGATCTGGCACCCCGCACCCGAAGAGAAGAGGGTCAGGGACAGGAGACCCCTAGCATGCAGCGGGCCCCAATCCAGCGGAAGACACTAAAGGTGCTGCTAACGAGCCGCGAATGAGATAATTAGCGGTGGATACCAGGACTTTGTGCGGTACTTACCTATTGTATTAGTGGACAGGGATCAGCCAGGAGGCCTGGGGGATCCCCGAAATCAGTCTGTTTGACTGATTCCTCCTCCAAAGGGATCCTGTAAATAATAGAAAGAAAGCTGAATAAAAGCACCTGCATTATACCCCGATCCAGCGTGGTACTTTCCGCAGGTACTCACTTGAATAACACCCCCTTCCTCCCTATTTCTATTAAGATCCAAGTCACGGCAGGCGAGAATCAAGAGGCTTGGGGGGGTACTCTGCGTGGACACGCTGACACAGGAGTCAAACTAACCCTGGTTTGCCCTGACAGGAGGACCAAGTAGCCACAAACAAGCCTTTTAAGATTCTCTTCCTTGCCTGTATTCAGTGGATTTAGGGCTAAACTCAGGCCCAAGCCTTCCAAGTAATACAAAACCCAGCACTTGTAGGGGTAATGCAACTGTCAGTGAAGGGACAATCTGAAGACCGGAGGAGCTGATTCATAATTGGACCTGCAGGACTTTGGTCACTGAAGTTGCTGGATAAATTGGAAAGAACCCGGCCCAAGTGCCAGAGTGCAGGGTGAATTTACAGGACTAGAGGGCAGAGGAAAAAAAACCTGTCTTTTTTGGAGACTAAGCTGATGTGATCAAAAAGTCAGTAGGACATGACAGAAATAGAAGCCCACCATGCTATTTTTACATAGCCAAATTTTAAGGAAACATCAACACATAACAACATGTTACAATATTTCTCTGAAGGAAGTAAAGACTAAGTGTTCTAACTGAAATTAGAGATCTTTATAAAGACAAGCTGTGAATACCTCATTTGGAATTTGTACAGGATCATTTTGTCTATTCCAAGAGCTCCCCAGGCCTGAAAAGATTAACTCAAGTTTCAGGATCACAACCAGCAATCCAGTGCTTAACTTTTTTAAACTTTCCTTTAAAAAGTGAAAGTTTAGCTGTTATAATTGCAGTGACAAATTCAAGACTATGAACTGAATGTACATCTGCAATTTCAGTGACATCTTAAATTGCAAATGGCTGGACCCAGTAGCTCTGAGAGGTGTAAATGCCACAGGTCATCTCAGTCTGAGTACCATAGAGTCTGCCATTCTATGGCTATAAAATTTGTCATTTTTTCCTGATGGCACAAAATGAAGCATTTTTCCTGGGAAATGTTCTTGTTCTACAGCCAGGCACCCAGCATGATTTTTTTTCCTGTCTCCTTGCCCTGCTGGGTTATGTTGGTTGGTGTGTGTGATAATTTGAGAAGTTGATGGAATTCATGAGTTTTGTTTGGACTAGAGAATTGCTTTCTCATAGAATAACAGTGTATATAGAGTCAGTCAGGCCTATCAATAGAAGTATTTTAGGACAGTGGGAGAGCTAAAGCCCATGGAAACTAATCCAGCCAAGTTTTTCATCTGGAAGCAAGAGAATTTCCCTAAATGCAGAACAAAGAAATGTAGTAGTAACACTAGGTCTCAGAAACCAGAGCCTAGGAAACACGAGGCAAAGTGGGGGAGGGGGGGGAGAGAGAGAGAGACAGAGCGATGAAAGGGGAAGCCCACTATTGAGTCTAGGAAGAAAAACAGAAGGGATTCATAGCAGAGAGGTCCAGCTTTACTGCTGTACTCAAGAGTGACAGACTTCATGATTCAGAGATGACATGCAGGGAATATAGGGAAACACGGATAGATGGTTATTATTTTCCCTAGGTCTATGTGTTTCTTGTTGCAACAAAAGTAATGAAGGGGGTTTGAACTCATGATGAAATCTGTGCTTCTGCTTTAAATAGCAACGTTTCTGAAGAAAAGAAGAGATGTGTAAACCCACATGGTGGCTACATGGTTGGAGTACCAGGAAAAGGTGTAGTTAAGCTACTGAGAAATCTGCAGAATCCATATTTGTCCCAGAGAGCCGGAAAGAGGGTGACAGAAAGAGCCTGTGTCCAGAAAGGATTCCAGAGAAGAGAAGGAAAGGGACAGGGATGTGGCTTTCTCAAGAAAAGGGAAGTTTAAAAGCATATAAGCCCAGAGTGAATGGATCCAAACACAGCAGGGCAGGCTGGTGAGTATCCAGCTTGGAAAGATTTACTGTGTGATAAACTGCTTCTTGTTCCTTAGGTTTCCCCTCACAAGAAAGTGAGTTTGATAACATAATTTGCTTGTATTGATCACACAATCAGGCTGCAAGATACCTTCCTTTCCCCTTCAGTGATTCTGCTGCTAACAGCTTCACTTCCTTGTCTCATGGCCTCATGGATGTTGGCAGAACCAAGGAGGGTTCTTGATGTGGCTGTGAAAGTTATGAATTTTATTAAAAAT